AAGATCTTTGACTTCTTTAGTTAGGTTAATTCCAAGGTATTTCATTTTCCTCGGTGCTATTGTAAAAGGTATTGTTTCTATAATTTCCCTCTCAGTGTGTGAATAAACATCATTCTGTTGGCATGAGAGTCATCAGACTAATGGAACAGACAAAGAACACTAAGGAAATCCATAAAGCTAGGGAATAGTATCTGGTAAAGAGTAAGTTTTCAAGAAGCACCTATTACATAAAAGAATGGCAGACATAGTATAGAAAAGGCACTTCAAACTTGGGAAAGGAATGACGACTCATTAACTAAATGCTGTTCAATGTGGAAAAAAAGAACCAAACATATACAACTCTACTCCTCTACTTGTAACAAAAATGAATTCTATGAAGATTAAGGAAAAAATCCAGTTCTCTATAAATACACGGGAAAACTGGTAAAAACCTGTTGAAACTAAATTTCTATAAAGATCTAAAGATTTTAGCGGACATTCAGACAAAGATCACAGACTTTACAGAATTAACCTATGAAATTCAATAAACAAACATCATTAAAAACAAGCCCTGGAGTAGAATCTGATTTTCAGAATTGCCACAGGATACTATTTCAATGAGGCATGCAAAGAAACAGAATAGCACAATCTATAAATCAGAAAATAAATTAGTTGATAGAAACTGTCCAGGAGAAAGCACAAACTTTAAACTTGTGACATAAGATTTTAAGTGAGTGATATTTTGAAAAAACTGAAAGAAACCATGTCTAAAGCATTAAAGGAAAGTATGTGAATGCATGAGAATGTTCATTATAGAGATGTAAGTTATAAAAGAGCCAAATAAAAATTCTGTAGTTAAAAACTGTTGAGAAAAACTCATTAAAAGGTCTCAACAGCAGATATGAACTAAAAAAAAAAAAAAAAAATCAACTAGTAAAGACACTAGTTTAAATCTGAATGCAATTAATAGGATTAACTTAAAAAGGTAATATAAGCATAGTTCTAATTGTACTGTTTGACTTACAAAAATGTGATATATACTTGTGTTGATGGGCTTACAATGTATAAATATAGTAAGTAAGTTTGCATAACTATAGCAATATAAGAGTAATGAGGAAATTGGTATTCTGGAGTAAATTTTTATATACTGTTGAAATAAAGCTAGTATTAATGTGAACAAGATTGGTCAAAAGTGTCAGTTATACTTCAAGAAAATCACTAAGAAAATACAGTATAGAATAAGGGATATATAGTTAGAGAATAAGGGGATAAAATACTAAATAAGAAAATAATACAAGTGAAAATAATAGTGGAAGAATATAAGGACAAAAATGCATAAGGCACATAGAAAGCAAGTACATAAAATGTTAGATGCAAATTCTACCTTATAAGTAATTACATTAATGCTAAGTAGACTCAACATTACTATGGGTTAACACTGGATTTAAAAAGCAACATGATCCAACCATATGATATCTGCAAAAAAAAAAAAAAATTTATTGAAAGAAACAGAGTGTAAGTAAAAAGATGGAAAAAGTTATTTCATGGAAAGAAGGCAAGAGAAACAGAAAAAAAAGGATAGTAATTCAGAATATAAATATTTAAGAAGATGAAAAGTGAGTATTCATATCCATAATAAGTTATGAATCCAAACTTCGCAGAGTAGGGAAGTTTTACAGTAATTTTTCTATTTGTAATATTTATAGACATAAATCACCATTTAATAGTAGTTCTTCCAAGTTATCAGGATTTCGAGCAAGCTGTAGGATCAAAGCAGAACCCCGAACCTTGTCAGGAATATCTTCATACAATAACTCAAGGTATTCGTCCATGTCATTAATGTTCGCAACTTCATCAATCTAAAATAAGGCAAGGAGGAAGTACTAATAGTACACAAATTCACTATCAAAGGAATGACATTTTGTGATCAACATACTATTCTATATAACAAAAAACAAATTTCCAAAGACCTGATAGTAGCCATCTTTTTACAGATGGAGATCTTAAGATTTTTGGGTACTTTGACAAAACGGGAAAA